CATGCAGTACAAGCAAAACGAGAACAACAAGGAGAAGCAGGCCAGCATGCGAAAGACCTGGATGAAGCGTCTGAAGGGTCTGCAACCCAATCCAGAAGTCTGGCAGCGAATGATGAAAGTTCGCCAACTTGTCATCACGCCGCACGAGGGCACCGACATGTGGATCAAGTATACCAATCTTTGCCGCAAGAACAACAGGATGAACCTCGCCAACAAGGCACTCCAGAAGTTGTTAGACATCGAAGGCTCTGGTGATGGCAGAGTTGTGGAGTACGTCCGCGAGCATGGGCACAAGATCCCTCATCCAGTAGCATACGCAACCTACAAATACATGTGGGCGGATGATACTTTCAAACAAGAAGCTCTCGATTCGATGAAGGACTTCACAGCTCGACTTTCGGACGATCTCGCAATAAGGGCGAGAGCTGCTGCAAACCCAATGATGGCAGGAAGCGCCGTCAACGGCATGGCGCCAAACGGTCAGCATTTCAACAACATTAACCCATTTGCGGCTACCAATGGCCATAACGGGATGAATGGATCAAGCATGCTCAACGGCTCCGGTGGCGGTGTTTCGCCAACAGAGCTTGCAGAAGCCCACCGACTGCTCGCCAAGTGCTACCTAAAGCAAGGCGACTGGCAGCAGGAGCTTCAGGACGGCGAGTGGGAACACGAGTTTGTACACGAGATACTATCCGCGTACGCTGCCGCCACTCGCTACAACCAGAACTGGTACAAGGCATGGCACGCTTGGGCGCTGGCCAACTTCGAAGTCATCAACTCCATCACGTCCAAGGCCGATCGGGAGACGACAGATGTGCCCTCTAACATGGTGCACGACCATGTTGTCCCGGCTATTCATGGCTTCTTCAAGTCTATTGCGTTGTCGTCTAGCAGCTCGCTTCAAGATACCCTTCGTCTGCTCACACTGTGGTTCAGCCATGGTGGGTTGTCAGAGGTCAACAGAACGATTTCCGAAGGGACAAAGTCGGTGCCAATCGATACGTGGTTGGAGGTCATCCCACAGTTGCTTGCCCGAATCAATCAGCCCAATCCCACGGTTCGGCAGTCTATTCACCAGCTGCTCACCGAGGTTGGAAAAGCACATCCACAAGCCTTGGTCTTCCCGCTTACGGTCTCGATGAAGTCGGACGTGTCTAGGAGACAGCGATCCGCCAAGGAGCTCATGGAGGCTATGCGCGAACATTCACCGCGTCTGGTGGAGCAGGCAGACCTAGTCAGCCACGAACTCATCCGTATTGCAGTGCTCTGGCACGAGCAGTGGCATGAGGGCCTTGAGGAGGCTAGTCGACTCTACTTTGGAGATCACAACATCGATGGTATGTTCGCGACGTTGGCACCTCTCCACGCCATGCTCGACAAGGGCCCCGAGACTCTCCGTGAGATTTCATTCATCCAGTCATTCGGGCGCGAACTTCAGGAAGCTCGCGACTGGTGCAACACATTCAGGACGTCTGGCGAAATAGGCGACCTCAACCAGGCGTGGGATCTCTACTACCAGGTCTTCCGGAAGATTGCCAGACAGCTGCCCTCGCTGATGACGCTTGAGCTGCAGTACGTGTCGCCGAAGCTCAAGGATGCTCATGACCTTGAGCTAGCGGTTCCTGGAACGTATCGTGTTGGCAAGCAGGTTATCCGTATCATCTCCTTCGATCCGGTCGCTTCTGTGATACAGTCGAAACAGCGACCCAGGAAGCTGGAAATGCGCGGCAGCGATGGCAAGGCGCACACCCACATTCTCAAGGGCCACGAGGATATCCGCCAGGACGAGCGTGTCATGCAGCTGTTTGGGCTCTGCAACACACTCCTTGCCAACGACGTCGAGTCCCGTAAGCGCCATCTCAACATCCAGCGCTATGCTGCCGTTCCGCTTAGCACGCAGTCCGGTTTGCTCGGGTTCGTCCCCAACAGTGACACCCTGCACGTGCTCATCCGCGAGTACCGCGACAGCCGCAAGATCCTCCTCAATATTGAACATCGCATTATGCTGCAAATGGCGCCCGACTACGACTGCCTCACGCTTATGCAAAAGGTTGAGGTCTTTGGCTACGCACTCGACAACACCACCGGGCAAGACCTGTACCGCGTGCTCTGGCTCAAATCTAAATCCTCGGAAGCATGGCTCGACCGCCGTACTAATTATACGCGCTCGCTTGCAGTCATGTCCATGGTCGGCTACATTCTCGGCCTCGGGGATCGTCACCCGTCCAATCTCATGCTCGACCGCGTCACCGGTAAAATAGTACACATCGATTTCGGCGACTGCTTCGAGGTGGCCATGCACCGCGAGAAGTACCCTGAGCGCGTACCTTTCCGTCTCACACGCATGTTGACGTATGCCATGGAAGTTAGCAACATCGAGGGCAGTTATCGTACGACGTGTGAGCATGTCATGAGGGTGCTGCGAAGCAACAAGGAGAGCGTCATGGCTGTTTTGGAAGCTGTAAGTCATCTCCCATGTCGAAGTCTGTGCAAGCGTGCTAATTACTCCAACAGTTCATCCACGACCCACTACTGACATGGCGTCTCCATCACACCGCTTCTCCACCCGAACCCAATTTCCCCTCGGAACGCCGTCAATCCATCATGGGCGACATCCACGCGTCCTCGGCCGACCCCATCTCGTCGCTGCAACCGCGCCGGCACCGCTCAAGCGTCGCGCCGCCCGCCAACGACGTCGAGGCCAAGGAAGTGCAGAATGCGCGCGCGCTACAGGTCCTGTCACGCGTCAAGGAGAAGTTGACGGGTAAAGACGGCAAGCCGAATGAAGAGCAGACGGTGGAGGATCAGGTTGCGCGATTGATTCAGGAAGCAACGAATCTGGAGAACTTGTGTCAGCATTACATAGGTTGGTGTAGTTTCTGGTAGATGTGCGATTGGCGCATCGCTTCTTCAGGTTGGCTCGAGGTGGTTGGAGGGTTTGAGGTCCCTTGGGGAGTTGTTGAGGAGCAGGGTGGAGAGTATCACGACTCTGGGGTAGAGCATTTGAGCATGGGATGGTGCATGGCGTATTGGTCATTCTTTGACAAGCATAGGGCTGGTCAGGACATTTGTGTATGAGTATAGGACATGAGGGCATTATATTGGGTGCCCGGGCGTTTCCACGTCCATCAGTCGAGATCGGTGCATTTGCATTGGACCTTGAGTAGGTTCGGCAGGAAGTAATGCATTCATTGCTCCACGATTACTTCTTTTGACATCGTTGTGCTGGTGTGTTGATGAGAGTAAGGACTGCCCATATATGTAATCCATTTCGAAAGCAGAAAAGAGTCGCAGGGCATGGCATGTGTCGCTACGGGTCTGTGTCTGCGAGAGTACATAAATCTCCTCTGGACAGCAATAACCTTGTCTTTCTGCAATTCTGTCTCAATTTTGTCCTTTTTATCCTTCAATGCAAAGACGCGGATGCATCCCTCATGGTCTGTTTCTGCTGGCTAAAATGCACAGAGGCGATTTCGTGCGGGGATCGTTTCTCTTCGGCGCTTATAGAGAACATGAAGGTTTACTTCATGGTTTCTCATTTCTTTTCTTTAAGATACATCAAAACAACATGTCGACTGGAATATGAGCTCCGTGGCTCGAAATAAGGAACGCCCCTTGACGATTCTCTATTCACGCATGGTAATTGACATGTGCTCTAGAGACTTGCACTTCTCGCTCTGGTCTGAGAGCATGGTCAAAAGGACATTCGGATGCTCTCATGTGAACAGTGCGTCAGAAGGAGGCAAGCAGTAAGATCATGTTCCTGTAGAGCTGTAAGTCCCTAAACTCTGCTGAAGCGATATATGTGATCTTGTGCTGGATTGGGGTAGGTGCGAGGTAGTGGTTATATAACCTCACCGATCGAGGCGTGAGGTCTAACTTCTGATGCCCCATTCTCGCGGGGCTAAACACTAAACCCCCCAAAACTGCTCTCATGTGGACCAGAAGCGGCCTTTTGGAGAGATGACAAGAAAATACTTCTGTGTCGCTTCTGCTGAGCTTGTTCAAACCTGAATACATGTAATAATGTATCTTGAGTGCCTGAACTCCCAAAGCGGAGTGTTTGTAATTCCATGTCTTCACCATTTGAAATCTCAAAGCAGCGATAGAAGATCGCGATGTCAAATCGTCGGTCTGAGCTTGTGGTACAGCTTGCCCAACGCTCAGCGTGGGCTTTTTTTTCGCTTTCCTATACCTAAATCAATTGAATAAAGCAACGAATGAAAGCTTGGATGGTGGTTCTCTCGCCTAAATTCAATAGATACTGTCAAGTAGAAGCAACCAGAGGCTGCAAAAAGTACTTTTATGAAAAACGTGTTGATTGCTCGGAAGACTTACCTGCGCAAAGCCATACGTTCTTGAGAGTCCGGCTGGGAGCCCAACGTAAGAAGCCACTTCCAGTAACTATTCAAGACGAGTTTTTCGTCAGTTCAATGTCGACTTAGTGGTTATATGTTTGCTCGTCTATTTAACCATGACGTGGATGATAATGAGCTGGCGGACGCCCGGAAACGTTTGTGGAACTGAGCTTTCGAATAGATCGAACCAAGATTGATGTAACAACAATCCGATACAAGGTTTAGAAGTCAAGTCAAGAAGTTGTGGCACCTTTTGTACACCGTGGAAAGGCCTTTCCGAAACAGTCATGTTATGGGTATAGATCATTGGCAAAAGAGCTGAGATCAACATAAAGCCGCCTCAATCCTACAAACAGAACAGATATCAATAACTTTCTTACGTGTCAGGATGAGAAAATAGATGTACAAACAGGGACGGAGATGGAGTTCCTTTGGTCTTGGCAGGTGTCAGAATCAGAAACTCGGCCGAGACCCACGCAAACCACACAAAGAAGCGGGGTAATTTGTGCATCAAGCCTTGCCGTCAAGTTGAAAATGAGTGGACATCGGTGTTCTCCTTACACTACTGCTCAAGGAGCAAATGTTGGATAATATAGTTTATCTAATTCACCAAATTCTCTATTCAAGTCCTTGATTCATGGCACCATGGCCTAATGGTAAGGCGTTGCTTTCCGGCGGGCGTAACAGCCAAGAAGACTGGCAAAGATTGTGGGTTCGAGTCCCACTGGTGTCGTACGAGCATTTCTTTTGCTTTTTGTGTGTTCTGTTGTGTGCCGGACCGAGGTGTGTAGTGTAGTGCGGTGTTGTAGCTCCACCCAAGACAGTTGGGCGTCGCGGGGCGCGCACTTGTCAGCACCACGCTCTTTTTTATTTGCATCGAGACAGTCTTTCTTTTCAACCATTAGTCGAGGCTCTCATTCATCGCAAGGAGCATGTCTGCCATTCATCCTTTGAAGGCCGGCCCGCGGTAGGTCACGAGACTTCTTTTGACCCCAGCTCCTCGTTAACATTATTCAGGCTCCGCCAGGCGACAAAATGTACGCGAACAGCAATTGCAATAAGCCGGGTTAGTCGAATAAGTTATCAGGTGGACTTCCTCGCTCATCATCCAGCAGGTCACATACCGTCTCAATTCCACAACCGCGCAACCACTCAGCGTGCCAAGCACCATAGAGGGCGACTACGTTCCACTGAGCAAAGCTGATGCGAAAAGACCTGAAAATCGAACCCCTAATCTGGATCAAATCGTTGGGGCGGAATGGACTGCAGCTGCCAAAGGCATCCAAGCAGAGACGAATAGGCTTGTTGTTGAGCTCCAGAGGATCTTTCGGCAACAGAAGGCTCTAAAAACAACTTTGGCGAGTGAAGAATATGTAAGTAATGAGGCATTTTGATCGTTTTGTATAAATGATATAATGGTTTGTATGCTCATGACAATGTAGCGTGTTCGGCCCGTGGTATTCGACCGTCAGTTGACACACGCGATACAAACCGACATTGCCGATGTTATTGTTGCAGGCAGAAAGATGTAAGTGGTCAACGCTGGTCCATGAAATAAAACTGACCAATCTTGAAGTCCTAATATTTGGCTACGGTAAGCACGAGGAGAACTGGAGATGGACCTGGAGCATGAGCTAAAACTTGGTCATAGAGACAACTGCCAATGCAGCAGCTGTGTTCATGAATCAACAAAGCAAAGACTCCTAGACACTTTCTCTGTAAGTCGAAACTCTTTTACATGTGCAACATTCTGTTAATGATTATCAGATCCCGGAAGACATCCACATGAACACATGTCATCTGTCAAAGGACAACATCTTAAAGGTCGAATGTAAGCCGACCTCGTGCTATTATGATCGAGCGTGTTCTAAGTAACTCCTAGGGAGCGACGGCCACAAGAGCGAGTATTCTAAAGAATTCCTCAACTTGACCGTTAGAGATGAGCCGCATAGAGCAGTTGTGCGGCAGGGCTTGACCAAGTAAGAATGAAGGAGCGAAAAATACTACCCTCACAACTAACCACCATCAAGTCTGTCACTATGGGACGCTTCCATCAAACGAGACCCTCCGCGCGTAGTCGACAATACCGATCTCACAGTCGCCGACATACTGCGTCGAATCGTACGTCCGCTCTTCGCTTCCTTTCAAACCCAGCAGATATCCTAACATCACCCCAGCGCAAATACGGCTTCTGCTACGTCGACTCCGTCCCGCACCCGGACCCAGCACCAACCGAAGCCCTGCTCCGCCGCATCGCCTTCATCCGCGAAACCCACTACGGCGGCTTCTACGACTTCACCGCCGACCTCGCCTCGCAGGATACAGCATACACCAACATCGCCCTCGAAGCACACACCGACAACACATACTTCTCCGACCCAGCAGGCCTCCAGGCATTCCATCTGCTCTCGCACACCGACGGCGAAGGCGGCGCATCGCTGCTGGTCGACGGGTTCAAAGTCGCGCAGGAACTACACGAGACGGATAAAGACGCATATCGCATCCTCTCAACGGTAAATGTACATTCCCATGCATCTGGCAATGATGGGATCTCGATACAACCGTACCGAGGCTTCCCCGTCCTCGAGCACGATCCCGCGACGGGGGATTTGTTGCGCGTGCGCTGGAACAGTTCTGATCGCGCGTCGATTGAGCTTCCGATTGACGAGGTGGAGAAGTGGTATAATGCGGCGCGGAAATTTGATGCGCTGCTTAAGAAGAAGGAGAATGAGTATTGGGAGCAATTGGTGCCTGGGCGGGTGTTGATTTTTGACAATTGGCGGGTGATGCATGGGAGGAGTGCGTTTACGGGGAAGAGGAGGATTTGTGGGGCGTATATCAATCGCGATGATTGGATCAGTAAGTATAAGATGGAGGTGACGGGGAAGGAGAAGGTATTGGGGGCTCTGGCGTCGGGGTAGACACTGCAGTCCCGCTACTCGACTCACGTGTGCATAAGTTGTCTGAGAAAATCGAATGTTGATACACCTGTCTTGGCGTTCTGACACTTATATACAGCGGCTGTATTCCCGTCAAGCACTCCCTGGCCTCTTGCTTTTCTTTTCCGCACTTGCCCCGCTCATGAGCCGCCCCTGCCTACCTTCTCCTGCTCCAGCTCCAACTCTGCTTGCCGATAGTATTTCGCTGTGTCGACGCCGTGGTAGGGGTGGTTGACAAAGTTTGGCCATGGGAGCACGTGTGCGAAGGTAGCCGAGTATCTTGAGTTCCTGTGTGCGACGCCCTGCATGTACTCGGTCATCTCAGTGGTGCCGTAGAGCGACTCGCCCTTCTTGACTTTGTCGACCATTTCCCGCATGTCCATCTCAACTTCGCGGCGGTTCTCGCGGGCTCCGTAGAAGCGCACTGTCGTGTCAATTAGCACTTGACTCCAATCGACTGTACCCAGATTCGCATCTTGGAAACGGCTGCTTGGACATACTGGATGACCGCGAGTAGGCAAACATGAAAGCGCCGGTAACGCCAATAGCACCGCTCAGCCGCATGATTGGCGCGAATCCGCCCTTGCCGACAAATGAGGGCGACACCTTCTCCCAGTACAGCATCAAAGCAGGGCTGATGGCGCCAACTGCCGCACCAGTAGCCCAGTCGGAGGGGCGGGTATACCGCATCACCCGCTTAAAATGTCTGCATCCCTGGTGAGTACTCGTGTGCGATTACAGCAATCAGGTAGCGTACGGGTCATTATCAATGAGCTGCGGGAGGTTAGTTATGTCATGCCATTGCGCGCGTCCCAGCGGCCCAATTACTCACAGGATACTCTCCATTGGGGATCTTGTCCGGCACAACAGCCTGGTGTCTGACGGCGTGGTCCTGCGAGGTCGTCATGGCGCTGGTGGGACGGCGGACTGTGGAGGCCCTCGCTCGGTCACGAAGTGAGGTTGACGGTTGATCGGAGGGGTCTGTGCGCACAGCTCCTTCCGCGCGCCTGCTCGCCGTTCCTGCAACTTTTCTCTTGGCGCGTCTTGCGACCGATGAAACCGCGACAGCAATGAGCGCGCATCCCCTTTGTCGCGCCCAACACCCTCACCCACGATAGCATCCGGGAAACGACGGACAAGATGGAGGACATCAAGCAGGAAGGCTCCTCGAGGGCCCACAACGGCGCCAGCGCTGCGCATGCGACCGACTCGTCCAGCCTGCACGCCCGTCCTACCGTCGCTGACTTGCATGGAGACAACCACTTCGCGCAGGTCGCGAGGAAGCACTGGTTGACAGCGAAGAAGGCGCCCAAAGTGCGGCCAGAGGTGGTCAAGAAAGAGCTGTGGGACGAGCTGGAGAAGGTCGACTTTGCATTCCCGTCATTACTTGTCTTGGAGAACCTGCAGCTGCTGGAGCGCTATCTGTGGCCCGGCTTCACTGAGGAGGCTTCAAACTACCACCATCTGCTCCTGGCGCTTATGGTCAACGTCAAGAGGAGGGAGAACTTGCCGTCATGGGGTAAGACATTACGACCCTGGTATCCTGTACGGCGATGTGCTGACAAGATGCAGAACACTTCGCGACCAAGCCGACCGAGTTCTCGTCCTTCTTCCGCCGCATCCTATCCATGACCGTCGACCCTGCACAGCCATCCAAGATCCGCACGCAACTCGTCTCGTTCGTCATTGGCGCATTCCAGTCCTTAGACAGCGGTCTGGTGCGAAAGGAGTGCGCTCCGTTGGTCGGCATCTCAACATGGCACAACCTCCACTCCGATGCGGTGCGAGAAAAGCAATTTGAAGAGCACCAGATGCTGCGCAAGGCGTGGCGAGCAACATCCAAGCGGTACGACGCGGGCGATGAAGCGCTACAGGCGAGGCTGCGGTTCGAGCGATCATGGCTCTACACGCTCCTCCTCGACTTCATTGACAGACTATATAACAGCACTACCAAGGAGCAGATCAGGGATAACCTGGCCTACTGCGAGCGCTTCATGGAGCTATTGACAGACCTCGAGAGCCAACTGCCGACACGGAGATATGTCAATACGCTGATACAGGACCTCAACCTCCTCCCGGCCATCAAATTGTCGCCCTTGTATATTGACGAGGACAATGGCTTGTTCCGCGACCTCTACAACCTCCTAAACCACTTCGCCAACTTCCCAATCGAGGACCAGACTGGCAAGCAATTGTCGAAGCTAGAGTATGACCAGCAGTACTACGATACTCTCGCCAAACTCCAGCGAACTGGATTTGCCGCATTTCAAGACAAGCTCCAGCTGATGGCTCTCGCCAACTATGGCAGCATTGGTAACCGCGAGGAACTGGACGGTCATTTGCGAGCGTTGAGCGATGACGAGCTCGTGCAACTATGTTCACTCATGGGGCTACGGACAGAATACCCGACCTCCACTTACTTAGTACGAGATCGAACATTCTACATGGAGACACTTCTCTGGCTGGTCGAGCTGCGGCCGACGTTCAAAGACCTCATTCGTGACATGCCAATTTTGCCGACCGAGAAGATCTTGTACGAGAAGACTTTCTTAAGGAACGAATCATATGATGGCTCGAGACCACTCGCGATCCCGAAGCTGAATCTCCAGTATCTCACCATGGGCGACTTTCTCTGGAGGTCGTTCATTCTCTACCGTGCCGAAGCACTTTATGGTATTCGAAAGGATATGGAGGATGTCGCGAAGAAGGTCAAGCCCCGTGGGAAAGGCGTCAATTCCAAGTTTGGCGGCGTGTCGAAGATGTCCTTGCCCATCATGAAGCCGGCTGTCGTCGA